GCTTTCTTAGTGTGTATTTAAATAGGATCATAAGGTTTCCACTCTCCAGGCCTTCCATACCATTATGGACTCTCCGTCCAGAACTCTAAGCCCAAATAATCTTTAGGTTTTCAATGTTGCTTCAGTTATGACATTGTATCACAGCAACAAAAGTAACTAATATGGTAATCTTGAGGAGAATTATATTGTCTTCATTTTTCACAGTTTGTATATTATATTACTGCATTGAGTTTCATGCATCTGAACTAATCTTTTGTTTTTCCTTAATTTATTTATTTATTTATCTATTTATTTATTCACCTTACATTCCAATCAATGCCCCACCTCCTCCTAGTCTCTCTCTCTCACAAGTCCCTCGTCCATCTCTTCTCCCCTTCTCCTCTGAGAATGTGGTGGTTCCTCATCCCCCCACCCCTCAGGTATCCCCAGACCCTGGCACATCAAGTTTTTGGAGGGCTAGGAACATCCTCTCCCAATGAGGACAAACAAAACAGCCCAGCCCAGTTAGGAGACTAGAATACAGAGACAGGTAACAGCTTTAGGGACAGCCCCTACTCAAAAATTGTTGTGGAACCTGCATGGAGACTTGCGGAGCTGCAGGCTGTGAGAGGTAGCTAGGTACCTGGTCAAGCACAGGCTTTGAACCCCAGAGACCCTCAGGGATGGTAGGAGTTGCTTCTGGGCCCCTGGCTCCTTTCACATAGTTATAGCCCCTCCCACAGAGAGGTTTGTGGCCATTGGTCACATAGCACAGGTAGAGGCCGTAACTACAGGCCACAGAGCTTCAAGACAGATCTCTATACTAATGAGATACCTAAAGGACAAAGGGCATAGCCAATTAAGCATACCTTCCCAGACCTTCCTCCTTGCAAAGGGTATTTAACCTCAGGCCCTCCCTGAGAATACCAGGGTATAGCTTCATCCATTTTCTGCCATGACAATAAATATCTCAAGACCATATCTTAAGACCATGGACTATTTCTCTTCTTTGGGACCCACCGTGGGGAACCATGGAGGTCTTCAACTACAGAGCCACAGTCTAATCTCCAAACAATGACCTCTCTATGTTCCAGCCACGGAGACTCAGCCAGTCGAATCACTGTGACCAAGAGTCTCATTCCCATGGGCACAGCTAGGGTTTCTCCCCTTACCCCCTTCGGCTGTGAGTTGATCCAGCCCGTACACCCCCAGTGTCTTGGTCCTTCTGTGGCCTCTCAGGGGTGCCTGAGAGCCCAAGGGCCATAGAACCAGTCAGTTACTGGCCACCTTGGCCTGGGGACCTCCAACCCAAGAGCTCTGCCCCACTGTGGTACCCCAAACCATGTTCCCTCACCCATGGATCAGAGCTCTGTTGCTTCTCACAACCCTGGAAAGTCAGTCAACTCAACACTATAGTTTGTACTTCTTCATTTCCTAGGGGAACTGGAAACACATGGTAATGCCTTGATGCTAATAATCACTTCCTCCTTTTCCCCTTATGACCAGTACATCTCCAAAAATGACAGAAAGATGTTTGGGTATTTTTAAAATTACTAAATCTATTCCATTATTATCTATAGCCACCACTATGCTATTGCTGGCAAATCTTCATCGAGTCTAATTTATGTTTGACGTTCCCTGCAGGTCAGTAATTGGTTACTGGTGAGTGAACTCAATCTTCAGCCCTTCTCCCTTTCTGAGGGAGTGGGAGTAAGGGTTTCAACTGTCTGATCATATGTTTAGTCTCATTTTGAAACAACCATGGGGACTGACAGGAATCACCTCATTAGTATTAGGCCCACTTAAAATGGAATTGTTTTATATGAGAAAAGCTGTTCCTTTAATATTTATTGCCCTGGAACTATTTCTGGAATTTAAAGAGTCTCCAAAAATTTCCTCAGAATATGTCCTATGATCAAAAGACTTTTTAAAGTTCTGTGCTAAGAACTGAGGATAGGGGCCATATGTGTTTATGTTCTGTATCCCAGTGTCATAAATGTCCCACTGGAGACTGCTTCCTTGTGAATGAGGAAATGTTGTTGAGGATAGTGGAGGGAAGATTCCAGAGAATGTGTGTGAGGAGGAAGAGATATTGGACTCTATGGGGGCTTACCTCTGATTATATACCACTTTTCAGCTCTCCTAACCTAATGAGATAACATGCAAAATGTTACCAACCAACTTTTGCCCAATATCAGTCAGATTTTGTCATATTGAGCCAACAAGGTCAGTCTGGTTCCTTGGTACCTGGGAATAATTTCCAGCCTAAGGATAATAACTCCTGTCAGGAGTTATCAAATCAAAGCAGGTTCAAATCAAATGATGAGTCAGGACTCACATGAAAACAGTCCACACATCAATGTGTTTGTTTCAAGGAACACAAAGGGAGATCATGCAAAAATTAGGGGAAGGAATATATGGATATATAGGGAAAAATAGATTGAAGAAAATTAATTGAGCACACAGCATTAGAAATGAACAAAATATACACTCATGAATGAAATCCTGTAGATGATTACTGAGATCAATACTTTCCATGATAACAATGGAAAAAGTCCAGAGTGCTCTCAAGTCATCATCATTGAAGAGAAGGACTTAGTTGTTCCAATAGAGTCTCCACACCTACAGTTGAGAGGGGACTGTAAAGTCAAGAGATGTTGTCATAATGGGACAAACTAATAATCAACAGGTGATCATCCTGAAATGTGTGCCTTGGATTATTATATAATCTGCGACAAAGTGGCCCCTCATCCAGCAAGGCTGTGAGGGACTTATTTTAGGAAAGATTCCTGCTATCAATATGCTTTTCCTATTATTATTGTTATTATTATTAAACATATATAACAATCACTAAGCAATAGCACACCCCTTTGGAGCAGATCTCTGCAGATCCATGAAGACGTTCTATCTTGTAGTGATGCTATATAGACAAATAGATGACTTCTTAAGTCTTAATGATGATCTTATAAGAATTCCTAAAATTATATCAATGATTATTAAGCTCTTTTATAGTAGGACTGTGATTAGGTCCCTTTCTGATAGTCAAAACTGCCATGAGAACTCTGCCAATCTTCAGAGTGTCATCAGTTAGTAGCTCTTAGATAGTAACCAGACTTTCTCCTGCTCAGAGCACATTCCAATGAGGTTGTAAAACAATTAACCAAAGGTCACTAAAAGGGAACTCATGATTTATTATAGGTGCTAGGACAGAAGAGAAAATATTGCCTGGGTTTATCTATACAATAATAACTTCAGTAATTTCTTAGTTATAGTTTTAAACCTTCAGCGAATCTGTGGAGCTAGAAAGGTGATGGATGTTTAGCCAGATAATTACTCCTAATGGATATGTATGTAAACATTATCTGTTGTAAACTTCTATTTCAATTTGTGACTTGAATTTTGGTGTGAATTTGTGATGAACTTTGTAACATGTGATCATGTACTCTGAAAGATGCGTAAGTACTGAAGAAAAAGACAAAGCGAGTAGTAGGATAGAGTAGTCATAGATGTAGAGGTTTGTTAGAAGCCGTTTGTCCCTTCCTTTCCTTTTCCTTTGCTTAGAATTTTTCCACTTAGAATTTTTCCTTTGTTAGAATTTTTTCCTTTTTCCCACTTAGGACCTTTCCACTTTTCCTCTTAGATAGCTTTCATAGGAAACTTTTTACACTTAGTAATAAACTCTATGGTTATGTCTCTAAATGTCTTTTTCTTCCTGTGACCTCAGACTAGTAGGCATAAGTCTGGGCCCAGCAGCGCCTGCTGAGAGAGTACAAAGGCTATTTGCTTAATCCTTTGCTGTCTTTGGGCTGAGGTGATAAGTGACAGAAACTACAGTTTCTGGCTTCAGAGGATACCGGAGGGTAGGTCAGCTATAGTGACATAGTAAGCAAACTTTAGTAATGTAGATAAGTAAGATTTTATTAAACAGCAACCATAAATATCTTGTAAGACCAAATTCTTACCACAAATCTCGTAAGGCCCAAGGCCTTATTCCCCCCACCCCCAACCCTCCGCCGCTTGCTGCTCTTCCATTCCCATCCCCTGTGACTGCCTCAAGAAGAACTGATGACGAGGAGAAGAAAGAAGAGATCTCTTCTCCGTTCCACCTTGCCAGGGCTGGCCCCCAGCAAGATGTGTCACACATGGCAATCTGAATACACTAGTCAGTATTGTCTAAGGAAATGTTACCCCTAAAATGCATAGATACCATGAGTATCATTTGCATATTGACCTACAGTCATCAATGTGATTGCCTATATGTTGTCAACATGACAGAGCAGTTATTTGCCTTAGTTAGAACTTGTGTGATAAGAGGGATATCAAAATTGAGTTAGTATTTTCAAAATGTAGTCACAATAATCATAATTAAAATACCAGCTTGCTTCCATTCCAAAGAGCCATAATACAGCAAAATGTACACCACAATACCCTTTCCATCTCACAATGCCACTTCTGAATAATGTTCACATGTCTTGCTTTAATGTATGTATGTATGTATGTATGTATGTATGTATGTATGTGCATGTGCACATATGTATGAAGGGGTGAGGACTGCTAGATATCCAACCCAGGACAAACAGCTAACCATTCAGCCATTCAGACTTATTGCTTAGTAGAATCATGTTTGTTATGAGTTAAGCCTTGTATCAACTAAGTTACCCGCATAATGTATTATAAAAATATTTAATATAAGTAGAGTTTATAGATACATTTCTTTTGAGGTGGGAGAGATTTCCACACTAGGAACCAAGCAAGTTATGAAAACACTCTGGTCAAAGTTTTAATAACAAATTTAGGTATGTTCCTCAATTTCTTCTTTCCCATGTCTTTAACTCACTGGAGACCAGTTCAGACTCTGACTTCTGGGTTTGCAGCATTGGCCACCTCTGTGGCATTTAACTCAAGTGTGTGCAGAAGTTGACGCTGAACTCTGGCTTTTGTGACAGAAGCCAGATCCCTGAGTCATATTTTGGAGAGACAGATGCAAGAAGCCCTTGACCTTCTGAACATACACCTCAATAATGGTGCAAGAAAGACAAACCCAAGGTGAGATCAGAATTCCAGTCTCAGTCAGGGGAGACAATAAGAGTGTGTGTTGTGATGAGGAGCTACCAGAGCAAGTGGGCAGGCTGAAGTAATGAAGTAGACCAAGACAGCAGACCCCCAGGGATTTGTCGGAAGTATAACATCTCAGAGCCAGACACTCTCAAAACAACAAGAAACCAAATATTGAAGGGGGTGTGAAATGATAGGACATCAATGGAAGAATCTGACATTTAAGAAGAAAGTATAAGGTCATGGAAATTGCAGGTGCCAGAGGGCGAAATGTTTCTAGATTGTGTGTGTGTGTGTGTGTGTGTGTGTGTGTGCATGCACTTTAGAACTATCTTTGTCATTTATTCTAGGGCTAGGACTTTGACAGCTTTTTTCTACTTTAAGTTAATAACTATTCTGAGCATTTTGTCTGGTTGTTGATTGCTCTAAGCTTTTTGGTCTTGTGGTGAGTACATCTGCTTGCTATCTGACAGGGAAGGCAGTCTGCTGGACCCTGAGACTCTGGTCAGTTGCTGTGGTTTCCATGTTACTCTTGAGCACCTGTTTCATTGTGAGTGGTATAGGTAAGTTCTTCACTGACTGCTGTCTATTTTGAGCACTGCCTGGTCTCTGTTCCACAGAGACTCCCAGGGTCCCTTTTGCTTTGTTTTGGCTTTTCAAGACAGAGTTTTGCTGTGTAACAAGCTCTGACTGTCCTAAAATTCTCTCCACAGATCAGGATGACCCTGAACTCACAGAGATGCCTCTGTCTCTCAAGTGCTGGGATTAAGGGCATGTACTATCACCAGCCTGGGGTTGTCATTTTAATCCTATTGTCTGGTCTGATTTTACATGCAATACCATATTTTTCTTGACTTTTCTTTCTTCTTGTTTTCCTTTTTCTCCCCCATCTTTTGACTAATGAGATATCTAAGGTTTCTTCACCAGCTTTGTTAGCTCATGTTTTTATAAACATTGTCTGTGACAGTGCTTTCCAGCATTGACTTCACCAACAATTACAGTTTGTGTTCACATCTCTCTGTTGGGAGTGCAAGTCCAATTGATTTCATAATATTGGCAGCTTAGAGTCTTTGATTCATATGGGATTTTCTCTCTCAATACAAGGGGAAAAGTCACCAAATGAGATAGTAATGATTGAGAAAATAAAATATTGCTGCCCCATTTCATCTGCTCAGAAAGCCATGTGTGAAGTCTATTGTGTGAGAAGTTTTGATGATGTTCTTTGCAGTCTGCATTGTGCTTCTCCATTTGCTGTGAGGGTATCACAATAATTGTTGCACAGTCCAGGAAACAGTGGGAGTGACTTCATGTCAGCTGTCTGCTCTGTGATGAGACAAACTTATTCATCTTCTCACTGAAGTAGCATCTGCTCTAATTGGCACAGTCAAACTTAAGAGAGGAGGTTGTGGTTATTAAAGATAGTTATTACACTGCTTAAGAAGAAACAGATGGTCAAGACCCAAAACGTGAACTAGAAACATTTGCTCAGAATAGTGAAGAAGGTCTGTTTTTGGTAACATTGTTTAATGTGCACACTCATGAAAAAATGCTAATTAAAACTAATTTTTATTTATTCTTTGAAACTTTCCTACGCATATGCAATCTACCTTGATCATACCTTTCCCACTTAAAAGTCTCCAGATGTTTGAAGTACTCCTACCTACAATCAGTAATGATTAGAATATGTAAATATACCCATTATTCTTGCCCCATAGTTGTTTAAACAAAGGAAGCTAGACATTAGTGAGGCAACAGATAACTATAAAGGACTTGCAGCAGTTCTCTGATGCAGAGGTTTGTGATTAATTCACATACAGGATTAAATCATAAAATGCAGCTGATATTATAGTGGGGGAGATGAAAAACAAATGAAGAAGTAATTTAGTGAATATAGAGGATCAATAATGTAATCTGGTCTTCAGTGGGTTTGCCTAGAGGCATTGGAGGGAGAAGCCTGGCCCAGGTAGAGGACATGAGACTCCAGGAATGGCTAGGTCATGGTCATTCTCTTCTTTCTTCACAGTGACTTACAAGTTTATGATGGACAAGCCCAGTAGAAGACTGTCTGAACTTCACACATACCATTCCAGTCTCACCTGCTTCAGTGAAGGGACCATGATGTCAGGTGAAGATTAGCAATATTTCGCTAGACTGGGGGTATGTGTCATTATTAGGGTTGAATTTAAGATACATTTATTATAGTATGGTTGTGTATGTGAAAAAGAAAGGATAGAGGAGAGAAAGAGAGGACAGAGAGACAGAAAGAGAGAGAGAGAGAGAGAGAGAGAGAGAGAGTGTGAGAGTTTTTTGGGCAACACTATCAACACACAACACATAGTCTGTCAGGTAAACTCTGGAAGTCATTCATAAAAAGATTCTCATGAATTTTACATTCAATACATAAAATTCTCTTTGGTATTTAAGTTCCTCAATGAATACTATACATCTCCATTCCAAGCACCAGCTTTATTACTGGGACAACTGACTCAGGCTGAGCCTGCCCTTGCCAGTATAAATGACAAATTCATGATCAACGTGAGCATCATATCTGCCTCACCTCTGTGTGATGATAGGCACTTGTCTTTAGTTTTCTTATTTAACACATAGCAATGCCATCTAGACATCTCTCAGAGTCCTGATCCAAGAACTGGCTTACTCACAGAACCACTTTTATCATCATCATCATCATCATCATCAATTTTATTTATTTACATCCTCTTGGAAAGAGGAATAGATGTGAAGACAGAGCAAAAGCCCCTCATACATTTAGCTGTTGTTGGGATTTTTTCTTTTAGTCATTGGTTAGGATATGTCGCATGGAAACACAAAAGTTGCCCTAACCATGCTTTTCTTAGCACATTGGGTTCTTTGTGTCAAATGACTGTGGGGCTGATTCTTCCCCAAGAAAAACATAATTCCACGAGGATAGTCTTTCTTCTATTTTCTAGAGACATTTATCAATAGCTGTTCATATATTTATTTTGAGAAACAGTTTCACCCAGGAAGGACTCCTTAGAAAGTCTAAACTAGCTTGTTCAATCCTCCTGGTTCAGCCTCCTGTGTGCTGGGATTACAACAGATATAGAGTACTTCACAAAGCTACAACTGCAGTTCTAAAGAAAAATTGGCACCTGGCCTTGAGGAGGCTCTGAAATGAGACAGAAGTGGAATTTAAATAAATTAACTTTGTATCCATCCATAAACACATTTCCTACGTGTATCTGCCTTAAAATCATGGCCAAGCAGGCTATTTTGTGTAATTGATTCTATTTTTAGCTGTTTACATGATGAAATTATCTAATACTGTATAAGAAAATATGACAACAGATATTTAACAATACTCTTTTGAATTAATATAATAAAAAGAAAGAAAAACTTTCAACAAAAATATTCATATTTTGTGACTCATGCTGATGCCTTAAATTTTATAATTCCAGCACTTAGGAGGTAGAGGCAGGGGATTTGTACAGATATGAATTTAGTCTGGTCTACCAGGAGAGTTCCAGGGGTAAATAATGAGATTCTGTCTCAAAGAAAAAAAATATTATCTGGATGTAATAGTCTTCACTGCCATCTGTGGTCTCTTAGAGTTTGTGGAAAATCTGTCCAGGCCCTTCTGAGTTTTACAGACTTCAGTGAGAGGTCAGGTATTATTCTAATAGGTCTACCTTTATATGTTACTCAGTCTTTTCCTCTTGCAGCTTTTCCTACTTTTTTCTTTGTTCTGTATGTTTAGTGCTTTGATTATTGTGTGTTTTGGGGAATATCTTTTCTGACTCATTCTATTTGATGTTCTGTATGCTTCTTGTACCTTGATATCCAAGTCATCTCTGTGGGGTGCTGGGCTGGGAGAAGCAGGTGGGAACCTGGTTGAGCGAGTCTTGAACCCCAGACGTCAGGTGTTCGGCTTTTGCCCCCAGTCCCTGGTTCTTTTCATTCAGCTTCAGCCCTCCACAGCCCTTCCCAAAGAGAGGTCTGTGACCATTAGTCATGAGGAACAGTGCCTCAGGCTCTCCTACATATAGATGAAGTATCTCCCAAGTTCTCAGACCAGGCTAATAGGCGTTATCTGCTGCCAGACCCTAACCCACCCTATACGGGCTCTATTCTCGAGACGGGCTCTATTCTCGAGAAGTAAAGTTGCGTTCAAGAATCGTCCTGGTGTCCGAGAGTCTCTGTTGCAAGAGCTGTAACACTAGAGCTGTAACACTTGGGGAAGAGATCTGCTCTCCCAGAACCTTCCTGGGGCACCAAGCTGCTTCCTCGCCAGCTAGCTGGCTTCCTATCAGCCAAATCCAGGCGGGCTTAGTGCTGGGAGACAGATGCAGCACCTGGGAGTGACCGAACATCGACAGAGGAGACTCCGGCAGAGGCAGCAGTGGGGGCATGCGATCTCTCCTCCCTGATTGTGCTCTGTACCCTTTGGCCCAGACCTTTCACACCAGGCCTGACTGGAGACCGACAGACAGTGGAGACGCAGGCAGAGGCAGCAGCAGAGATGGTAGCAGACCTTCCCTGCTTTCACTCTGTCCTCAGCCAGGAGATCTTCGTGGGACACTTTCCGGAACCAGGGACCCACATATCTCCTTCTTAAGGTTGGAGACATTCTTTTCTATGATTTTGTCAAAAATATTTTTTCTTTTTAAATTTTTTTATTGGATATTTTATTTATTTACAATACAGATGTCATCCCCTGTCCACATTTCCCCTCCCTAGAAACCTCTATCCCATCTCCCTCCTCCTATATGCTTTTATACCATTTTAATTACATGCATGTATTAAGGTCAGTTCTAGGTTGAGGGTCTAGCAATATAATAGATGCAAATAATCAAGGAACAAGCAAGACAATAAACACAAATAGTCAAAGAAAAAGCAAGGCATTAAACCCAATTACGTGAACACTCCTGTGATCAGTTTCTAAGGGCTTACCAGGATGACCAAAGTATCTGAGCCTACTTCCCTGTCCTAGCCCAAAGTCATTTTCATGTCTGAAGCCTACTTCCTTATTCTAGCCTAGAATTTAGAATTCTGTCTGAAATTACTTCTTTGTTCTACCCTAATATTTAGATTCCTGCCTGAAATTACTTCTTTGTTTTAGCCTATGATTTAGATTCCTACCTGAAATTACTTCTTTGTTCTAGCCTAATGTCTGATTCCTGACTGAAGCCTACTTCCTTATCCTTGGCCAATGTCATATTCCTGCCAAGCAGCCCATTTCCTTGTCCTTGACCGATGTCAGATTCTTGCCAAGCAGCCCCAAAGGCTCTCTGCCTCTCCCTCTTTTGTATTTCATTAACAAGACTGAGCCTGTCTTGGGTCATTCTGTCAAGAATGCTTTCCTTACCCATCATGGAATATGGGTATTTTATCAAAGGCAATGCACTTCTGTCTTAGGTTGGTAATGCTCTGTGCATTACCCATCCTTGGCTTGCTAGCCTGTTAATTAAAGAACTCTGTCTGGGGGGTCCATTTTCAGGTTCAAGCCATGTACTTTGGCTACCAACATGTTGATGTTGTTAAAGAAAAGCTTCACCATGATGGGCAGGAATAAAAGTATTCCCAGGACAAAAAGAGCTAGCATGATAGAGCTATGTATGCCATTCTTGAAGCTTGACCAAAATAGAAATACTGACCTCAGGCCATGAGTAATTTTATCTGCAGTTTCTACCACATCAATGCTCAGCAAAGCAGCATTCTTGAAATTCATAAGCATGTTACAACTTCCAGAGAGTTGTTAGAATTATGTCAAATAAACTGCAAGTGTCTTTAAACTTCTTCCTAATTATAATGACTACCACTGTAAATTTTAGAACTAACATGAATCCAATGGTATTTGGCATGACACTCAAGATGGCTCCTTACCCTAAAATTCTGAACCTCCTTCCAATAATTTGAATAAGATAAAGAGCATCAACCATTCTTTCCAAATGCCTATTTAAATCCTCTTGGGGCCATTTACTTAGAAAATTGTTTTCCACCCCTTTACTTTTAGGTAGTGTCTGTCTTTGTCATTGAGGTGCATTTCCTGTATACAGCAAAATGTTGGGTCCTGTTTACCTACCCAGTCCATTAGTCTATGCCTTCTTATTAGAGAATTGAGTCCATTGATGTTAAGTGCTATTAAGAAGTGATTGTTGCTTCCTGATATATTTGTTATTAGAGGTGGAGTTATGTCTGTGTGGCTATCTTCTTTTGGGTTTGTTGAAAGAAGATTACTTTCTTGCTTTTTCTAGAGTATAATTTCCCTCTTTGTGTTGGTGTTTTCCATCAGTTATCCTTTGTAGGTCTGGATTTGTGGAAATATACTGTGTAAATTTAGTTTTCTCATAAAATATCTTGGTTTCTACATCTATGGTAATTGAGAGTTTAACTGGGTAGAGTAGCCTGGGCTGGCATTTGTGTTCTCTTAAGGTCTGTATGAAATATGTCCAGGATCTTCTGGCTTTTATAGTCTCTGATGAGAAATCTGGTGTAATTCTGATATGTCTGCCTTTATAACTTTCTTGACATTTTTCCCTTACTGCTTTTAATATCCTTTTTTTGTTTTGCTTTGTGTATTTGGTGTTTTGATTATTATTTGATGGGGGATTCTTTTTCTGATCTAGTCTATTTGGAGTTCTGTAGGCTTCTTGTATGTTCATAGGCATCTCTTTCTTTAGGTTAGGGAAGTTTTCTTCTATAATTTTGTTGAAGATATTTATTGGCCCTTTAAGTTGGGAATCTTTACTCTCTTCTATACCTATTATCCTTAGGTCATTGTGTCCTGACTTCCTGGATGTTTTGGGTTATGAGATTTATGCGTGTTGTATTTTCTTTGACAGTTGTGTCAATGTTTTCTATGGTATCTTTTGCACCTGAGATTCTCTCTTCTATCTCTTGTATTCTGTTGGTGATATTTCCATCCATGACTCCTGATCACTTTTCTACCTCCAGGATAGTCTCCCTTTGCGATTTCTTTATTGTTTCTACTTCCATTTTATGTCCTGAATTATTTTGTTCAATCCCTTCATCTGTTTTGTTTTTTTTTTCCTTATAATTCTTTAAGGGATTTTTGTGTTTCCTCTTTAAGAGCTTCTACCTGTTTACCTGTGTTCTCCTGTATTTCTTTGACGGAGTTATTTATGTCCTTCTTAAAGTCTTCTATCATCATCACGAGAAGTGATTTTAAATCTGAATCTTGCTTTTCTTGTGTCATCGGGTATTCAGGACTCTCTATGGTGGGAGAACTAGGTTCTGATGATGCCAAATAACCTTGTTTTCTGTTGCTTATGTTCTTGTGCTTGCCTTTCACCTTCTGGTTATTTCTAGTGCTACCTTCACTCACTATCTCTGAGTGGAGCCTGTCTGTCCTGTTAAATTGGCTGTGTCAGAATTCCTCAGAGTCCAGCTGTCTCTGTGATCCTGAGACCCTGGTTGTGATAGTTCCTGAGAGTCAGGATGCTTCTGGGCTTCTGAAACCCTGGTGTGCCCAAGCTCCTGAGATCCTGTGATTATATCCTATGTTTCTGTGTATTAGAGCTCCCGGGAGTCCAGCTTCTTCTGGGTTTTGGGGAATTGGATGCAGAGACTTAGGGCTGCTCCAGGCACAGGTGCAGACAGGAAGTGTCCCTGCACCACTGGCCTTGAGGGAGTTCCTGGGTCCCCATGGGTCCTGAATTACTTTTTGTTTGTGGGCAGGGTTGTGTCCTACTCACTTACACTCTTGGGCTTGTTAGAGCTCCTGGGAGTCCAGCATCTTCTGGGTTTGGGGGGATTAGGTTCAGAGCTGAAGCCTTAGGCTTGTTGAAAATATTTTCTGTGCATTTATAATTTATTTTCTTTTCCTTCCTCTATTCCTTATAGATTTAGTCTGTTTTTGTTGTTGTTGTTTAATATTTTCTTTGACTGAGGTATCCCTTTCTTGTATCCTGTCTTCAGTGCCTGAGCTTTATTCCATTTCTTATACTCTGTTGTTGGTGAGGCTTACCTCTGAGGTCTTGTTTAACTTTCCAAATTATACATTTCCAGTTTCATATCTAGGTTTTACTTAGTGATCATATTTTTACTTTCACATCATAAATTGATTTCATTATTTTATTCCACCATGTGTGCTTCACAGACTTCTAACTCAATGGTATTTTTGTCACTGTTTTTTTTGGTCTCATATTGCTTTATTAGAACACTGAAAATATGCTGGTCTTTTGCAGTATATTATAGTTTCCATTTTTTTCTTCGTTTCTCTCTGTGTCAGTTGTGTGTTTTTTGTGCTTTTTTTCTATTTTAAATTGTGTCCTTTAAAAATATTTGTCTGTTTTCTAAAGTAAGACAGAAAGAAGATATAGGATTGAATATGCAGAGACATGGGAAAGATCTTGGAAGGGATGGGGAAGAAGAAATCATGATCAGAATATATTGTGTAAAAAGTATTTTCAATTAAAAAATAAAAGCAAAAAATAAAATTAGTTCATAAAGGCCACAAAGATGTCCATTTTGATCACAGTTAAATAATGATTGGAAAGGACGCTTTTTCTTCTCCAATCCATTTCTACTCAGGAAGAGTGTTAAGAAGTTGAGATACTAGGGTCAGACCGTAAGCTATACTATACATTCTTAATTATCAATAAATGATGGCTACAATTTTTGAATGTTTGATAATCCTTAAAAATCAGAAAGGAAGTAACATTTATGGAGCAATTATTCTGAGTTAAGTACTGTTTCAAATGCTTCAGATATATTATGTGATTAAATAACCCATGAGGCCAGCACTGCTTTCAACACAAGGTCCCTGGCTCCAAATTATTTATCCTGAAAACAATACATACTATAATAACAATGAGAAAACAGCTCTGGCAAGCATCCTCAGATCCTTGGAGTCGCCTAGAACATGTCTTCTTAATCTTATTTGCCTCATCTCATGGTCACACATCTTGTTCATATCACAAAAAAAAAAAAAAAATGTGGGCAAGCTGCCCAAATCACTGGAAGTCATTTGGCTCCAGCTGCTACCTCATTTGTACCAAGGAGAACTTCTGGATCATCAGTGAGCAGAATTGCGTTCAGATGGGGGCTCACCTGGTGGTGATCAATACTGAAGCTGAGCAGGTAGTGCTTTCTCCTTTTTCATTAGCCTTTTAAGGAAAATGTAGCTAAATTTACTAAACATCGTCCTTTTTAACAGTTAGTAGTTATTAGTATGTTCATCCCATTGTATAAAAGGCCCCTAGGACTTTTGCAACTTACAAGATTGGAGTTCCCTGCTCCTTGAACAGACTACCCACTTCCAGTCCATAAGGTTCTGACAATCAATCCACTACTTCCTTTTTAAAAAATGAGTTTGATTACTTTAGATTCTTCATGTAAGTGGAATCATGTATTACTATTATTGCATGGGTGTATGCTTGTGCATGTGTGTTTGTCTAGCTGATTTTATTCAGCATGGTGTCCTCAAGATTCATTCATGTCATAACATATGACAATTCTTTCAATTTTAAGTCTGAAACACTTCATTATATGTATATTTCACATTTTATCTTTGTTTCGTATGAATTTTTAGCTATCTTAATATGTGACTGACAGAAAAATGTACATGGTACAATGTAATTATTTGCTGTATGTATACACTGTGAACTGAGTACTACAATGAAATTAAGGCTCAAACCCATTACAATGTGTATGTATGTGTGTGATGAAAATACCTAAACCACCACCTTCTCTCCATTCAGTGATGGTTTCCATGCAGATTGCTTCCATTTCATGGCTATTGTGAATAGGGTAGTGAATATGGTTGTGTAAATTTCTTCTTCACATCTTACTGTTCACAAGAGTATTTCACAATTTTATTCATATATAATGCTCTTTGATCAGTTTCCATCATCATTTCTTATCCCCTTCTTTTCCTGAATAACTCCTACTCCCTACTCTTTCCAAATTTTCCTCTCTATCCCTTTTTTTTTTTTTTTGATGAGACTCATATAACTATGCAGCTACTTACTTGAGTGAGGGCAATGCCCAGTGGCCAAACCTCTGACAAATATGACTACCAGCAACTGTTAACTGTCCATACCTCCTTAGGGAGGAATGGGGTCTTACTATCCCCTCCCACATCCATGATGGGCTGTTGATGCTCCAAGTCTTGTGTATATCTTTTACAGGTAGCCATTGCTGCTGTGAATTTCAATTCTTACATCCTTTCTACTCTGTGATGCTCAATGAGCTTGGGGTGGGGTGGCATAGATGTCCCATTGAAGGGCATTAACTTATTATAAGTCTCTGCAAAAGTATCATTCACTGTTAACAGAGCTTTTTTCTGAAGCCTCTGTGGTCTTCCTGACCAGTATCTTATAAGGAAGTATCTCAGACAAAATACTGGGATTTTTTTCTAATGATTTATTTATTTAATGCATATTTATCTGCATGTATGTCTGTGTGAGGTTGTTGAATCCTGTGGAACTGAAGTTACAGACAGTTGTGAGCTGCCATGTGGATACTGGGAATCTGGTCTTCTGGAAGAGCAGCTGGTGCTCTTAACCACTGAGCAATTTCTTTAGCCCTTCTTTTTATTTAATAACTGCAGGAGCAGCTATATTCATGGAGGTTAATTCTCTTCAAATTCTATTTTTAAAATTGTATTTTTAACTGGCATACAAAGCTGTAGGTTTCAGTATGACTTTTTTTTACATCCTTAGTTTTGATTCAACCTCCCCCATCCATTTATCTCTCTCATCACTCATCACACTTCCACTCAAGCCTTTACAAATTCCCATCTACATTCACTCCATTCGCTTTCCTAGCCCCTTGGTTGTCCTATCCCTCTTCCTTTAAGGCATTACCACCCTTCTCCATCAGTGGTCCCTTTCTGGTTTCCTTGACTCTACAGATACTCTACATTAAACACATAAATCTAAGAATACCAAGACAGACACCACAAAGATAGAACATGTGGCTGTTGCCTTTCTGGGCCTAGATTAACTATTAACTTCCCCTCTCTCCATTAACTTACCTGAAAATTTTATAATTTCATCTTCTTTACAATTCTATAGTATACACGGGTCACATTTTCACTGTCTAATTTTTAGTTGGGGGACATCTAGGGTGATCCCATTTCTTAGCTACTGTGCAATAGAGTTGCAATGAAGGTGGATGAGTAAATACCTCTGTAATAGAATCCTTTGAGTATGTACCCAGAAATGACATAGTTGAGTCACGTGGCATTTCTAGTTTTAGTGATAGAGAAACCTTCACACTCATTCCCATAGTGATCACACCAGCTTATTCTCCCACCAACAGAAATAAATATTTCTCTTTCCCTATGCTTGTCAGTGTTTGTTGTCATTTGTCTTCTTGAGAAAGCTACTCTGATTGGGCAAATCCTGAATCCCAAAACTAGTTTTAATATGCATCTCTCAATGAAAAATGATAATGAACACTATAACCTGATAATCTCATATATGAGTGTACTGTGTTCAAAACATTTGCATCCTTTCCTGTCCCTGATATCTTCTGTTGAACATCTTTTAATTGTCTTTTTGAGAACTTGTATAATTTCTTTGGAAAAATGTCAGCTCAACATTTCTCTCCAACTTTTTAATTGTACTATTTCTTTTGCTCTTGTTGACTTATAGGCATTCTTTATTTATTTTGGATATTACTCTTTTACAAATATATGCACTATATATTGCCATTTTTACTTGCTAATTTTTTCCTTTGCTGTGAAAAAGCTTTTTGGTTTAATATATTCCTTTGTCTATTTTTATTTTGTTGTCTGTTTTTTTTTTTTTTTTTTTTTGGTATCATGTCCAAGGATACATTGATAATTCCAGTAAAATAAAGTTCTTACCTTGGGTTTTCTCCCAAAGGCTTATAATTTTTCCCCATTCATTTAGGATTTTGAAGCACTTTGAATTAACTTGTATGTGACGTATAAGTGAAGGGACCAATTTCATTCTTTTCCCACAGCATTCATTCCCAGCTTATTTGTTAGAGAGTTTGCCCTTTTTCCATCACAAGATATTGGCACTTGATGAGATCGTTTGGCTATACATATGTGTTGATTTACACATCTTCAGGAAAATAGAATGTCTCTCCACTTACTGTGTGCTCTTTGATTTCCTTAACCATTGTCTTCTAGCTTTCAGAATACATTGTTTTCATTCCTAAGTGGGTTGCCTGTCCACTGGGTAACCCACTTAGGAATGAAAACAATATATTTTATTCTTTTTTGATGCTATGTAAAGAGTTAACCTCTTACTTGCTTTTCAGATTGTTGTTGTTGTTAGTGTAAAGAAATGGTGTTGATTTTTTTGTATGTTGATTTTGTATCCTGTGACCTTGTTGAAATTCATTGATATATTTTCTGTCAAAGGCCTGAAACACAGGAACATCTGAAGGCTTTCTTTACAAAAGGCAGGAAGCAAGATAAATTGAACTGCTCTTTCCTTTGTCTTGTGTTCTATTCAAGGCCCTTAAATGTTTAGATAATGTCTACCCACATTGGTGAGGACAAGCTAGCTTACTAAGATCACAGATACTGTAGCCAACCATAACTGCAAACACATTACAGATATACTCAGAAATGTTTTGATCTGGCCATTTCTTGACACTGCCAAGTAGAGACATAGAATATATCTTAACATTTAAACACATAACTTTTTGTTGTTGTTGTTGTTGTTTGCTTTTTCGAGACAGGGTTTCTCTGTATAGCCCAGGCTGTCCTGGAACTCACTCTGTAGACCAGGCTGGCCTTGAACTCAGAAATCCGCCTGCCTCTGCCTCCCAAGTGCTGGGATTAAAGGCATGCGCCACCACCGCCCAGCCATGCGTAACATTTAAAAAGAGATTAAAAGTATAAAGATAACCTAATAGAACTGGAGATCTCTTTAATTGGTGAAGAATGAATGATGAAGGTATGAGCTAGGGCCTTCTGCCCTTACAACAACTTTGCTATGTTTCATTCCTGTGCTATTGGTTCCAATGACCTTTCCTTTCACTTCTGCTTTCTTCTATTCCAATGGCCATGAAGGCTGTAAGAATACACACTCTGTTCAATAGGAAAACTGCAAGTTGTTAACTTCCTTTTCTCCATACAGAATTTCATCATCCAACAGCTGAATGAATCACGTACTTACTTCCTGGGTCTTTCTGATCCACAAGGCAATGGCAAATGGCAATGGATCGATAATACTCCTTTCAGTCAAAACATCAGGTGAGTGCAGTCCTAGATTAATGAACCATTGGGATTATTTACATTGAAAATGTAGGGAAATTTTGCCAGTTGTGACTACTATAGTTAATGACTGTAATTAATTAAGTTTTCACTGAATGTATGCATAATACAAAGTTTTATGAAATTTCTTGTTTAGAAACTCACTTTACATAAAAAGTATTGAATAATAACTTCCTCAAGATCCATAGGCCAAATAAGATAAGAAAGCTCATTTAACTCAGTGTCTTCCTGATTGTTCTTAGCCATTCGATTATTTTTTCTGGCTTTAAACACAAGTAGAGACTTAATTTATTAATCTCTAATAAATAAAATTTAAAATAACAAAATCAGAGGTACAATTAATATATCAGAATAATTACATAAAAATACGTTTTGCTATTTTTAAACCCATTTATTATTACCTTATTTTATCCTCATGTAATCTAGTGAGTTACTTTGAAACCTTTACTAAATTTGTTTCTAGTTTATTATCATTTCCACTTTTATACATGAAAAATTTAAAATAAAAATATATTAGATTTCTTAATCAGGGTCAAAGTGAATTAGAAGTTAAGCAGGTATTTTATTTACTTTTCTTTTTTCCCTTACATTAAACATAGGTTTTTTTCCCTCATACAGTATAACTTGAATACAATTCCCCTCACTCTGCTCCCCTCAGTTCTTTCATATCTCCTCTCCCATCCATATTGACTACCTTTCTGGCTCTCATTAGAAAAGGTTTCTAGGAGATAACAACAAAAGGCAACAATATAAAATATAATAAGAAAAAATGAAAACTATCACATTGAAGTTGGACAAGCCAAACCAACAGAAAAATAAAATAGCCTCAATAGAAGGCAGAAGAATCAGAGACCTACTTGTTACACATTCATAAATAAATCCCATAAAGTACTACAATAACTCAAAGCTGTAACTCTGAGTATAATTCAAAGCTATAGTATATGTGCAAAGGACTTAGTGAGGACCAGTGTAGGCCCTGTGCATGCTGCTTCAGTCTTTGTGAGTTCGTATGAGTTTTGCTCATGTTAACGTAGAGGGCTTTTTTTTGTTGTTGTTCTTGTGGTGTCCTTTGTCTCTGTTTCCCTCACTCCTTTTGCCTTCTCTTTCCACTGGAGTTCCCTGACATCTGAGGGGAGGAATTTGGTAAGCGACATCTCCTTTAGAGCTGTGTGGTCTTTCTCTCTGTATAATGTCTTATTGTGTGTCTCTTCCCTCCTCCACAGGAGGAAGTCTCTCTGATGATGGTAGAATGTCATTAGGAGTTGGGTTATAGTATATACATGGGACCTGTTGGGTTGATGTGTGGATCCCACTTCTGTCTTGCCATGTGACTAGGGTCTCTTGTGGGAACAGAGGCACGGGAATTTGACTGTCTTCACTCCATGCTGTTGCCGGGTGGGCATCGGGCTATGTGAAGCCACGGGATTCTGCTCTGGGGTGGGGAGCACAGTCTGAGGTCCCGCAGGGAGCCAGAGCTCTTGGCTTAGGGGTCCTTGGAATGAAGTGGGGGCATATGGGCTATATTGGCCCACAGCTGAAGAGGAAAGCGGGAAGGATGAGCTCCAGCGACTTGCTTGGCTGCGTCACGGCTGGCTCTGCTTGGGTGGCTGGATGTCTCTGTGTCTGGGAATACAGAGAGTTCTTCTGTGGGAGATTAGACAGTGGCTCAGGAGACGAAGGCCTGCTTCACTGTTCCCCACAGTGGATTCCAAAGACGAGAAGTAGTCCATGGTCTTAAGATATTTATTGTCATGGCAGAAAATAGATGAGAACTATACACCAGTATTTTCAGAGTGGCCCTGAGGTTCAATACCTTTTGCAAGTAAGAGGGTCTGGGAAGGAATGTTTAATTGGCTATGCCCCTCTGGCCTTTAGGTATCTCATTAATATGGAGATCTGTCTTGAGGCTTTGTGGCCTGTAGTCACACCCTTCTATCTGTGGAGGGGCTAGTGGGCATGGATCGATGGAAGTCTGTGGCCTTGTGTCAGGAGCCTGAAGTCTGGGAGTATGGCAAAGGGCATGTTGTACCTTAGGATCACCTGGGATCTCTGGCGATTTCTATCCAGTGCTTGGCCAGAAACCATACTGTCCTTTCACAGTCCTACAATTTGGAATCATTTTGTTGTTACACATTTATTTTTTTGAACCCCTTTTCTCTTCGGAAGAGACAGATGCGTCACGTTTAGGGTTAGGAAGCTGTTGTAAAGAGACAATCTCTATAAATGTCAGAAGGAAAAAAAAAACTTTTACTAACTTATGTCCATTATGAGTGATCTGTGAAGAGACAGTAAATATCGGATGGCAGGGGAAAGGACAAAGTACACCACACCAGAAAAAATATGCAAAACTGCCCATATTTGGCACTTTAGAAGTAGGTTATGGTAGAAAGAGGAGAAAATGATGGAACGTTCTCTCATCCTCAGCTCTGTTCTGTTCAACATTAAGTGCCATATTTTAAGTGACTGTCATGCACTCACAGCAGCAGTTATTTCGGCCTTTTGTCTCTTGTAGGTTCTGGCACCCCCAAGAGCCCAATCTTCCAGAAGAGCAGTGCGCTTCAATAGTTTACTGGAATCCTTTAAAGTGGGGCTGGAATGATGTTTTTTGTGATAATAAACACTATTCAATATGTCAAATGAAGAAGATTTACCTATGAGCGCAAGTTTATTTATTAATATCTTTAAAGTTCAGACCCACCAAGAAACTATAACTTCTTGGCAAATACCTTTGACTGTAGCCATTCTTTTCCTAGCTACTCCTCTTTACTCATGACAGAATGAGTTCCTTCTCTTTCTGATAGTCAGAGTCTTGTCATCATGACACAAAAGAGTCACCTGGGAAGTAGAATCCTCAGCTAAGGAATTGCTGCCATCAGCTTGACCAGTCAGCAAGTCTGTGGGGCATTTTCTTGATTAATGTTTGTTGTAAGAGAGTCCAGGGGGTAAGCAAAGCTGCAAATGCCATGAATAACAAGCCAAGGAACATCATCCTTCCATCCTCGCCCTCAGGGTTCTGCCCTAGAGTCTTGCCCTGACTTCTTTCTATGATGAACTGCTGTTACTTGAAAATATAAGATAAATAAACAATTTTCTCCAAGTTGTTTCTGATCTGTGTTTTTTTTTTAATTCTTCAAAGTAACAGGGAAGCAAACTAGGTCTCCCTCTTTGTTCTGTTCTTTGACTTATCTGTCATTCATTTGGTGTTTGTTTGTTTGTTTCATACTTCTACAAACATTCCTCTTTTCAGAGCACACTGTTTGGGCTGTTAGAAGATTTACAATATAGTATTGATTGAAAAACACTTCATTTTCAAAATGCAAAATCCCCTGGTGAGGGTTGTGGCTATGGCTAGAAACATGATCATCCAGGGACCTGACAAAAACTCAAATCTGCTGTCTTGGTGACATACTTCCATGGATGACACCTTGGTACTGATGATTATCAGTCAGCCCTTTACATATAGAAATTTCCACAAGGTGATTTATGTGTGCTCTGAACATGGGAGCTACCTTCCACCTGAGAAAATGATCTAAAAATATAAAGCTTCAGTTTTTTTATAAAGTAGCTTCAGAATTCACGGCCAACTTCTACTTCGCACATCTGAAAGAAATAAATCTCCAAAGTGTGAATAATAGAGTGAGAATATGTGGGGGACCTTCTTGGGACCTGGCTATCTCAGTCCCCCTTCTAAGAAACAAAACAGGTATAACAAGAGGGAAGATAATTAAAAGTTCTTTGCTAGAAAATGCTTCAACCACTAATTAATGACACAGTACTAGTACAAAGAATGTATAAACTGTCACAATGAATTAGGAAAAGACAAAAATGAATAAAATATTTGGACAAACATCCCATAGAGGAATAGTTACATACATTCAGCAAATATTATTTTATAGAAATGTTCACTTTCACTTGTAATTTGAGAACTGCACATAAAGATCAGAACATGGACATCTGCTTAGGAAAGCCTACAAATGGGCATTTTCTTATGTAAATTTCACCAAACTCTAAGTTTATGATGTGTGCACACCAAAAGTTAAAAGTGTTCCTTGGGGAAATTTTAGGGAGACTTTCTAGGATCCAAATACTAGTCACATATCTGGTAGAGAGAAAAATAAAAGCATGGTGAGCACAATTCTATGTAGTGGTCATGTTAGGATTGAAGAGTGGATACGCAGGGTGTCAGAGCACAAACTTATGACAGAAAAAAAAATAATTTCTTTGTAGCGTCATGATGCTCATGCAACAAATGTCAAACGGAATAAAATAAAACACTGTCAAAAATAGTATATAATCTGTATAATAGTATATAATAGTAATAGAATCTGAAATCAGTAATATGTGAGATATGATGTGTATATAATAGAAATAGGACACATACATATCTACAGCTATTGGCTGATAAACTTTCTTCAAGAGAGGCCATAAAAATGAATATTTTCTAATTCCTTCCGTATCACTTTCATGACTTTTCTTTCCCAACTTCATGTGCTCCTTTCTCCCTATCCCGCCAAGTCCACTTAGTGCCACCCGTATTTATGTGGGTGTGGAGCCATCTACTGGAGCATGGGTAGCCTCACATGGGCTACGTCTCTGAAAATAATGGGCTCTTCTCTTCCCAGTTGTTGGGAGATTTATTTAATTGCTAATAAACCTCATTGGTTTGGATGGATCTGTTTAAACGTTTAAAAATCTCTTCTTGGTTTAACTTTAGTGCATTACATGGATTAACTATTCATTCATTTCTTTTAGATTTCTTAATTTGGTGGAACAAAGGTTTTGGAGGTCTGTCCTTAGAAGCCTCTGGATTTCACTTCTGTCTGCTGTGATGTATTCTTTGTCCTCTCAATATTTATGAATATGGGTCTTCTCTCTTTCTTTTAATTAATTTGGCTAAATGTTAATCTTGGTAATATTTTTAAAAACTAAGACTTTGGGTTTTTTTTTCATTTTATTAATTTCTACACTGAAGTTGATTATTTATCCCTGTCTACTGTTTGGGGACAATTGTTTGCTCTTGTTTTATACAAAAAGGAAATATATAATTGAAGACTAACTCAGTAACATAAAAATGAGTCTGCCTGTCAACTCCCCTTAAAGTCAACCTAATAGCCATAAACTGCACCCCTGCCCTGAGTTCCATATTTTGGCCCACAACTTTGGCAGAAGACATACTTTCCTGTAGCCTACACAGTACTAGGAACCCCAGAGGCCAAGTAGGTACTCAGAACCCCAGTAGGCACACAAGTACTTCGAACTATAGAGGCAACATTGGCACCCAAATCCCAGAGATCACACAGGCTAAAAAAACCTCCTCAGCTGAGACACCCTACTAGACCTGAAGATTCAATTGTCCAGGGCGTGCACTCGCCAGCGAGGTCACATAGACACCAAAGTTCTTCAGCAGATCTTTATTATGATGTTGTAGAGGAAAGACCCACTGGAAAAAGGCCGGCTGGTGGAAAACCGGCTGGGAGAAAAGGCCCCGAGCCCCGAGAAGGTCCTGTTTAAATACCCCTGGAGTGATGTGTACATATCTGGTTGGTTAATTGCCCATAAAATCCTATATGCCCCAGGATGGGCTGTGACTTCCTGCGCTTTCCCCTTACACAAAGACAGTAAATTACAGAACTTGTGAGAGCATCGGATTGCCAGACCTGTCTCTGCCTTCCACGGCTCTCTACATCTCCCCCTTTTTGTTTTAAATGAGAATCACAGGCACTGGCCATTTCCCATGTCTTAGGCTAGTTGACGTTCTTCCATAGCCACCACCAAAGAATGGTGAGCTCCCTGTCTTAGGCTACGAGGGTTGCGCACCCACACCTGGCATTCTCTGAATGTGCGCCCCAGGTTGTGGCCACTTGTAATGCCCGTCACCGGGTAAACTCACACCACATGGTGTACCTCTGGCATATGGCATCAACCTATTCTCGTCGTTGGGACCAATGGCAGCTGGCCTGGAGACGAAAAGATAGAGCTGTCCTTGGTCTGTCTGGCATGGTACCAATCATAACTCAAACTCAAGCCCGATCAAGCAAATCCATTATGGGGGAATAAGCAATCAAGGACTAATAGTTTGATACAGCCTCCCCTACCTTACCAGGTGCAATGGAAACAAGTCCTCTGGGTGCAAAGGCTAGGGGAAACCGAGAGAGATGCAAACACCCATCCCTGTGCAATGGAGTCACCTCCTAGGGGTGCAAGGGCTGTTTGTCTCAAAATTCAGGTACCAGAGCTACACAGACAAGGACCAGTCAGGCTAAAACTCCTCACTGACCCAGTGCAATGGGCTGAGCCCTTGGGGTGCAGTAGCTGAGGATCTGTTTGCTGGCTATTTCTTTAGCATAGACAACCAGATTTCAGGAGATGAACCTTGTTCTAAGGCTGCAAGTGCTTGGGTAATCACGACTTTGTCACGTTTCTGTTGAGCTCTGAGCTTGCAAACCAACCAGAGTACGAACACTAATCCACAACACAGGGTTGTACCAAACAGGCCTACTCCCACCCACTCTTCAAAGAAAGAGAAGGCCGAAGAGATCCAGGTGGAGAGTCCTTCAGTCAGCGAAATGTCCACACGCGTTGAGTTGATGGCTGCCACTGCTGCCCGCAACTTCTCGAGAAGCTCATCAAATCCTTCTGACCATTCTCCTGCTAGGTAATGAGACAATTGTCTGGACAAATTAGCTGCTCGAGTAAAGTTTTCATATTGAACACTAGTAATACAGAGTGCTCCCAGATTTCTTTCACATCCCAATTGTGCCAATTGAAAGAGGATATCTATTCTTTCTTCTACCAAGTCTAGGCGCTGCTTAACAATCATCAATCTGCCTTTCAATTCAGCATTAGTAGAAGTATGGAGGTTGGCTGCCTCTACCACTGTAGCGGACAGCTGATTTAAGGCTGCTGCTGTTTGGACTTTGGTTGTCATAGCAATCCCAGCAGCTGTAGCTGCAATGGCAGTGACTGATATCGCTGTTATTATGGCTGCAGTTATGCCAAAGTCTCTTTTTTGTCTGAATAATGATAGAGTAGAGGGTGTTTCAACAGGAACAGGAACCCATCGTGGCACTCTGGCAACCATGGCACGTTTAGCTTGTCCAACAGCCCAACACTGAGACATCATGCATGAATCATTAGTGCATTTTTCAAATGAGGAATTGGAAAGAATAAACAAGAAGGGTGGAAAAACACACACTGGTGTAGGTGAAAATACTGTTTGATTTACAATAATCTTGTTAACTCCAGTAATTAACTGATTAGGATTTGTCAACTGAGGGATCGGATCTGCACTCTGTTTCACCATAGTTTCATTAATAACTCCTGTAAAGGATGTTCTTCCTGTCGCTCCGCCCTGGAGAAAGGCTAGCGGGTTGAGGTCGGTACAACTGCCATTAACTCCACAGAGTAGCCATTTGTAAAAAGGATTCATACTAACGCTCTGTAGAAAAGGACCCTTTCTCATTACCGCGTCAACTCCAGGATCTCCCAACATATTGGGTGAAAAGAAAAAAGTTTCATTGGTATCTGCCCATCGAGTTACTCTGGATTGACAATCAGACCAGGGTAGAACAACTCCCTCATCTTCTAGACTACAAAAGGGAAAGACCTTAGGTTGACGAGGATGCTCTCCATCAATAAGTTTGGGTGATAAAAATGT